AGTGCAGCAGAGGTAACCTCAATATATGCGCTTTTGATATTTTTTTTTTACACTCGTTCCCAATGCATTGTAACCATCTAAAACTGGCGAAAATAAAGCCTGTATAGTAGACTGTAAACAGTCGACGAAAATTATTTTGGGCTCCCGCTAAGACTTTTCATGAATGACTTCGAATACGCAGCAGAAAAAACCAAAGAATGGTAAAGCTTAGCAATCTCCAAGCAAAGAAAAAATCGCGCGCTTATCCCATCATAAAAAAATACACGGCCATTAGAATGTATTGTGTTATCCAATGCTATCCCAAGGTTACATGTAACAATATAGTGAAAACAAAAGTACCTTTAGAAGACCAAAACACCAAGTATGGCTTGTGCTAAAATCTCAGGAGAAAGCCAAATATTTTCGATGGTCCGGATATTATCCGCGTGATGGCATCATGACTTAAAATAAAAGGACAACAGAAATTAGTCCCTCTTAATTGTTTGAAAACTCTCGCGCTTTAAAAATTTCTGTTGAAGAAAATACAAATTGTTGAGTCACAAGTCCAAAATAAGGGTCTTCTTCACACACTACATAAACTGAATTTTGGAATTAGGCGTAAAAAATTGTTCGGCGGGCCAAAGAATTGGCAACAGTAAATGGATTGAATCAACTTCCCTAGAAACTAGGACAGGGATCACAATTTCAAGCTCAAAATTCTTAGAGTCCTGGACTGAGTCTTCGACTGCGTCGAGCAAATCACACAGGGTATAAACAAATGGAATGTCAAACTTACTTTTCTCTTCGTCGTTTTATCTAGCATACTTTTAGAACGAGAACGACTGACCGGCTTGAGAAGATTTGGGCCTGCAGTGGTCAAACCTGTTTTCTCCGCCTTGATGGAAAGTTTTGTGAGCGATCGAGTAAAGGGGCGCTGCTCACGCTGGTTAAGCAAGGAATCAAACTTGCTGACAGAACCTGTGAAGGTTGCTTGGCAAGTTTCTTGGAAGCCGAAGATTTCAAAGGCTTCTCAGATGTTTCCTTGGCCCCTCGGATCTTTGTCTTGTCCTCTTCACTGTCTGCACGTCCATACTGGGTTTGTTTTTCAACGGTCTTCCACCGAAGATTGGCTTGACTGCTCTAACGGGATAAACGTTCCCTTCGACCCTCATGGCATAGCTTCACGCTGACGTCTATGATATTCTCCGCGAAGATCTGCTCTTAATGCACTGTAGTTATCGGCCAAGGAACTATGAACCTCAGACTAAACGACATGATAATATAACCCAAAATCAGAAGAGTCAAAAACGAAGACTGACTAGCATACAATGACATAAATCTCCCGCTAAACGC